ATCTACGGGCTTACCTTGAAGCGTAGGGGAGGTTTTGAAGATTTTCCGGCGAACCTTCCGGCGACTCTATCTCACTGCTCCGGCGACCTCACACAAAGATGACAGCACCACTGCACTCTACTCTGAGCAAGGAACAATATAGAAGGAAGAATGAATTGTTTTGGTGATGAAATGAGGGAGTTGGGTTGTCCTTAAATAGCCCAGGGAAGAAGAAGAAGACACAGGTTTGCAGCTTCCGTGATTGAGCGACAATTTGGAATCGGCGTAATTGAACAGGGCGCCGTTTGGTGTGTAGTCCCTGATTGGGACTAATTTTGGTCCCAGTTAGGGTACACTTTTTGTTCCAACTTTCTCCAAATTGAAATCCGTTTGCACCGTTGCGATCAGACAGTCGAACTCTATCCAACGATATAATTTTTATATTCATTCGTTATACTTTTTCCGACACCACATTTTTGGGTGTTTGACTTTAACAGAGTAAAAATTGGTTTAATTGACCTTTCTCATAAAAGGTTCTCTCATTTAATTCATATCATTTGTTCTCATGATTTATTTCAATAAATCATTTTAAAGTTCATATTATAAACAATTTATTTATTTATTCTTGATTTGGGTCTGTACTCATGTTCTCAATCAAGACCACACAAATACTCAACATATTGGATTTATCTCTATGAGACTTATCCTGATTTGTGATATTGGATGTCAAAACACATAACCTGCAAAACAAAACACCTTGAAGGACAGCGGAGTCGCCGGAGCTGTCCTTAAGGTAGTAGTGCCCGCCTACCGTACCGGAAAAACGTGGGCACTCTCCTCCCAGGATAAAACCGCTATCGTGTGTGGAGATGTACGGACCAACCACACACCAACGAACAAAAACAACGTAGGAACGTTGGCGCCAAAAAAACTTTTAAGGGATGGCCGGAAATTTGGCCGAAAAATCAAGAGCTCTCTCTAAAAATTAAACAAGAAAGTTTTCTCTTTCTTTTTTTTTCCTTCCTCACGTGTGAAACCCACACATAAAACACACCACACTAAACAATGGAGAGCCCTTGATATTTATAACTAAGGAATTTTAAAAAGTGTAATTTTAAAAAGTGTAACTCCTACACCATTAATCCATGGCATTTGTGGCACAATAATGACGTGTTAATGGTGATTAATTAGTCATTAACACGTCTGTTACGCTACGCCCCGTTTAAAATTTGTCCCGAATAATTGGAGATTAATAGCCAGTTAACTCCGTAAAAAGGACTAATTTTAAACAATACGTAAAATTAATAATAGAAGATTGGCTCAGTAAAATTGCAAAAAATTGCAATCCTTACCATATTCTTTTATTAACGGGTTAACTCTGAGAATCAATTTCTCATTCACCCTCTATCATTTTTGGCGTATAAATTATCAAAACATTTATCTCATTTAAGAGAACACACGTCCATTAATTAACGGTTAAAACCGTTAGTGGACCTATTGATAAATATACCTAAGTTGGTCTATTTAATGCCTATTAAAAATGCCAAAAATTCCAACATTTCCGAGGTAGGAATCGTCAATTTTACGAACAGGTTACCGGAGCACTCCCGTGTCATCTCATGACATTATATTGTCGGGCAATATTATGGAAACCGTCCTCATAATAAGGATGAAGTTCGCATGACATTGGTAAAATTCGAAATCAAACTACCCGGAGTACAATTTAACACTTTTCATATGGTCTTTGGTCAAAATGGGGAAGGGTTTTCGAAAGTGACGGAGTACGAAGTACTAATATACTGGATGGGGCCATGAAGGGTAATTGAAAAACGTGATTCTACTGGTATATTTTGTTAAAGAAAAAATGTAATTTATTTTGTGATGGTGAGATTACGTGTTTGTTTGGCAATGAATTCAGCATTTTATTTTGTAAAATATGCATTAAATAGAACTAAAAGATACTCTTTTTAGTTCTTAAAATACTTTCTCTTTTATTTTTATTTTTTTCCAAAACACTTCGACTTTTTAGTTAAATAAACAACTTTTATTCATGATTTTTCTTATCCTGCATACCACATCATATTTTTTATTAATAATCTACACATCACATACATCTTATTATTACCCTTCACATCAAGGGCAAATTTGAAAAATCAACCAAAAATTTACGTTCTTTATTTCTTTTAAAAGTCAAAATAGGAATCATTTTATGAAACAGAGGGAGTATGTCTCTTCCCAATGTAATACCTAAAACATTACATTTTTTTCTAAATGGTACTTGAACAATGTTCAGTAGCGGGAACAATATCTAATGACGGTGAACATTTACTTTAAACAATATCTAGCGGGGGTGAACATTTACTTAAACAATATCATATAGACATTGAACAATAGTACTACATTAAAAAATCACTATATTTTAATAGTATACATATAAATTTCTCATTTATTCTCTTCCTTGCGTTTGTGGCTTAAAAAGCTGTTGTTAAAGTCAATTAAAGCTTTCTTTAAGTTGTTGGCCCTACGTACATGGAAAAGTCTTCAAAATATATTCCTCCAAATATTTGGTGGAATAAAAATATGTATGTGGCATCTTTTCATGTATGGTAAATAATCAACATGTGCCATCAAAGAATATAAACGTTGGACTTAAATTTGGTAGGTATCTATACCCATTATATCGTAGCATTCTTTCTAAACCCTTTTTTTTCGATTGAAATTTGATCAACCCCCTATCTAGCCTAATTAGCTGAATTAGTTTTAACTTGATTGATAGCAACTAGTGAAAATTGCTTGTAACTTACTAACTTTAACTATGAAAGTACATTTGGAATTGATTATAGGTCTGTTTGGGAATAACATTCGAGATTAGCGTTATCATTTTGAAAAATCTATCGACGGGAAGCGTTTAGCGTCAACATTTTAAAAGTAATCTGCACTGTTGAAGTTTTGGCCTGATTGAAAATAATAGCGTTAGAGATTAACATTAGCGTTCTGGATAAAATTTTAACAGTGGAGATTACTTTAAAAACGCTAACGCTAAACACTGCACGTAAATAACCTTTTTCTAAATGCTAACGCTAATCTCTAACGCTATTATCAATTCAAATAAACATTTCATCCAAAACGTTAATGTTGGTCATGTGTGCAGCAATTGTCCCGTGGCGGAGGCTATGTGGGCCAAGTCACAATCGAATGTCGTGGGCGCTTGTGTGTTGAATGCACTATAAGGCTAGGGTGTGCGCCTCTTCTAACACCAATTGGTTTTAGAAGAGTTGGTGGCGCCTAAGGTCCTACAAGTGATATCGGAGCGAGGAAGCAGGCTCGAATCCCTCGGGTGTCGCTGGGGGGGAGATTGTTGGTCTTATGGGGGACCATCGATCACCCTTACGAATTCGCTACTGTGCTAGTCACGGTATCGGGTACTGACAGTCCAACCTGACGAGGTACACGAGTCGTGTATCTTGCGAAGCCCCTCCTGTCCATCCACCGCTTAGTAGTGGGGCTCCGCACTGCCATAGTGAACTATAGGGGGTGCCTTATAGGAATCTACCTCGGCTTGGGGCTACAGAGAGATGTGGTTAAATACAAAGTGTCCACCTTCCTATCACCAATTGGTTTTAGGAAGTATTTGACACCTCCTTAACTTCAGAACTCTGTAGTTAA